GCTTACATGTTGTTGGTAATGGGAGAAGATTTGGGGATTTTTCAAAGTCCCAAAGTCACTGCCGGCAACTCATTGCATTTTGAATACTTATTCCTCCGCATTTTCTGGAAATGACGTAACCGCGGAGGCCGGCAAAGTACTGTCAGGTAGTGAACTATATATATATATATAGGTCACCAAAATGCTGCGAATTTTCGGTGTAAACTGTGTTCCCAAATTGCGTTCACAGGTTCGCTAAAGAGGCTCCCACGTAATGATGTAAATAGATATTAGCATAGTTCATGTTACCGGTGTGCCCCCAAAGTTTTCCAAACAAGTTTAATGATAATAATAGTATCGATGGAGATTGTGTTAACCTCTTGCACAACTCTTATTCGCCAAGCATTTTCAAACAAAAATATCCTACGGACCAGCGTGCTGCCTCTTTGGGGATAAAAAACCAGCATTTTGCATGTGACCTACTCTGAAGTTAGAACGAAGATACCTAGTCAAGTTTGAAGACTTGATGTACAACGCTCTTGATCTTTGTACCTGCAATTGATGAGAAATTTGTTTTAATGCAGAATACCCTGCGTAATATTGTTCTTATCTTGTATGGACCTTTCTAAAAGCGTCCCAAAATAAGGTATTCTCAATATTAGAGTGCCTTGTTCGGGGCCAGCAAATGGCAGCCCTGATCTGTTAAAAGAGCCAGCTGGCTGTTTCCAAAGTATGTATGAGTCTTATGTAGCTGTTACTGTTTTGATTGAGCAGAACAGGTTGTCTGGTCACTTTCGCAGAGCGAATCTGTGCACGTGACTTATATTACTCTCTATGGCGAAGAATATGGCAAATGTAGATTTTTTCGGACTTCGTAGTGTGGCACTACTTTGCTCCTCCCTTGCAAGAGGGTTTTGAAGAGCTTACTGAATAAAATCAAACCGATCAGCTTATTGTATCCAATACATTCTGTGAAGGGAGATATACATTACGAGATTCGAACGTTTCTCTGCTAAATGCCATCACCATACGAGATCGATGGAGTCAACTTAAGGGAATCGATAATGGAACAATATGTTCATCCCTGTAGTGCACTTGGTCGATTACACTTTGTTAACGGATAAAATTTCGAAGACGCATTCGGGAGATTTGCTGATACGACCTTCAAAAGCCTACGGAAACTGACTGATTAGGCAAATAACCCCAAATCCGTTGACACTCAATTTGGTGTTGCCACAAAGGAATCCTAGTGCTTGTGATTGAGCACTGCTTAGCAAACAGGCACCTGGCGCATAATTTCACCAGTCAAAACTCATTTCGCATGTGTGCTGCCGGCGAATGCTGGTCGTCAAATGACATTAACTCATAGTCCTACCCCAGACCAGACAATGACAAACTGGACAGCCTACATTCGTTGTCTTCCAAAAGACCTCTGACGAGCAACACACTAACACCTAAAGCACTTTTTTGTTGTAATATCACAATTGATAATTTTTAAAGTCGAATATACTCTTGGTACAATGATCGAAGTGGGATAGATACAACGTGAGATACTGCGTAATTTTGGTTGATTTTGCACCGCGTGACCAAGTGACTAGTATATCTTTCTAACCGTTTACGCAAATTTCCATCATCACGGTATCATTTACTTATTTCCATCAATGTTGTCACTTTTTAGCACGTGTTTGGTCGCCTTAATAAGTCTTTTGTACCATAACCATATCTCATCAGTTATCATGCAGGTCAAGACAATTATGAGGTTTAAATAACGCCAAAACCACACGATCTTTTGCTTCTTATTTCTATGTCCAGTATAACCGCCGCATTTTTGGGTTACCCATGCAAAAAAATCACCGTTCTAGAGTTAATTAGAAAAGAATGTTATGTTGCACAATCTGCCTGCACATTCTGAGCAAGCTTGAAATTTCCTCCCTTGAACCCACATATCAAACTTTGAGCACTTCCACCTGTGTTCATAAGACGGAGGTGGCACCATATTAACTGTGCTGCTCGCACTACTTGTGTGCGACATTCAACTGGGCGATAAAGCATACGATCTGGGAAGCACTCCCACCAGTGACGTCAGTGGACTCAAAGTACTGTATTGACCAACAGGCGAATAGCACCTGATCAGCTATCCCACCGCTGCGTGAAAATCGATAGTCTGTGAGCGTGCTTTATGGTTTTAGCAACCTCTCTTATATGAATATGACCGTTATTTTAAGGCAATACCTGTACACGGTTCTTGGTTGACCATCATGTGTTTTTTCAACACATTCGAATCATTTGCTGCTAACACGCGGTCCGTTGTCATTTTGAATTAGGCCAATCGATGTTATCTTAATACTGAGAATTCCGATGGCGCCTGTGCGATCAGTCAGTTTTTTCGGTCCTTTCTGTCAACATATTACAAAATGACGCACCTAATAAGTCATGCCACGGGTTTTTGTCGCTTAACAAAGCACACAAGTTAGGTAGAATAAACACGATGCTCTGCTGGACCGTAATAGCAGCTCAACCGATCATCCGGATAAGGGTGTTTCGCAGAAGTATTCTAAGTCGCAGTGTTACGTCGTTTGTTTCCGCCATAAGAAAAGTGCACGGACTAAGGCTACTTACACGAAGGCAAGCTGTACTTTATGACGGAGATCTAACATGGAGCTTTATTGGGCTTGTATCTCGTTTTTTTTAACCAGGACTTGATATGCACCCGTCAGACCAAAAGAAGCGAACTTCCGCCTCACTGTTTGTGGGAAGTATCATAGTTTATTTTGAATGCCGATGCTAGTGCACGCCTCCTCGTGGCGCAGTCTGATCTAATTGATCTTCAAAAGTACAGTGGAATGCAGAACGTAGTTAATTATACTTTGGGCTCCATATATAATGTTCCTCGTCACAGCAGTCTGGGTTATCCAGTTGTCCTAAATGACTCCGCTAGTGAGGCTCCCGATTAACACTGAGAACCCTTCTTTACTCAATATTACAAACACGTTGCCTTCCGTCATCAGAATGTACGGCAGGAAGGTTATCAGCTTAAATAATAGTTAAAAGATTTACCCCTCACTATAATTCATCTGATCACTTCGTGCAGTTACTTCGGTGGTACTGACACGCCATGGGACACATCATGAGGTCGGCACTTTAATTTCAAGAGCAGTGAAAGGAACCAGGGATGTAGATCAGATAGATCGGTCGTTCTGCACTTTTCCGTCCCGTCAGTTTACAGCATGTTGCCATATTACCACAGCAACATTTCACACCCATAGGGTTTAAATTAAGACACAGACGCTTGTATTATTGGTTGATGATGGGAATGTAAGGCCGAATCATCCACTTCTCCATTCAGTTGTTTCAACTGCCGACAATTGCAATAGCTTTCACTCTGTTATGGATGACAAATGGGGTTCTGTGCATTTTTCATTCAACGATCGAAGGTGAATAATAACCGGTCAGGAAAAAAAGCAGGCAGAATATCTTGGAAAGGCATTGTTCAAGGTGACATGTATAGCTAGGGCACACAAGCTACACTGACTCGAATCTGCAGCCAAGCTAGCAGCAGTAACTAAATTCGAGGACCAAAGTTGAACCATTGCTCAGGGGGATTATAGGAAATAGGTCCACCTCCCAGCAATACAGATGAATACTTTTTGTCCCATAGAATAACTGTCAAGTGTCTTGTCACGCCGTGGCCCAGAAGACATATCAATTAGGCGAACTAAGGCTACACTGCTCAGTGACAGCTGTTTGTACGATTGACCGAAGCATGCCCAGTGCATACCATTGAAGTCCGGCAATATTGGTATCCAGTTTCTGGATAGCCATTTTTTGTAGAATTGGATCTTTGTGGTCGGAAAATGCTGCGTTTTGTTATCAGTCAAAAACCACGTCGTTCAACTGTGGTACAACTCTGGAACATAGCTGCAATAAATATCAAAACTGCACTTTATATTACATTGAACTGAATTCGACTGTAACTGGAAAATGAAGTTATGAACCATGACAAGAAGAGCAAATTGGAGAACCCACCCCGTAACAGTTCATTGACAGACATTTGAGATTACAATCTGATGAAAAGCGATTGTGCTAAGTGTCCGGCGAATAAGGCAAGAAAACTGCAAAATCAAACAGGAGCTTATTAACCTGTGAGAAAACGCAACCCATTTATATGTACACCCATGTGGTGAGTTAGCATAAGTACAGTTGTGGCAGGAGACGACTATCTGAGGCGTTTGATGAGCAATATACAAAGAAAAGAATTTCAAAGTTCAAGCCACTTATACAGTCATCCATTATACACAGTCACTAAAAGACGATCGGATAACACATGTAAAATGAATCAGTTCAGGAGAGCCCGTAGTCACTGGTGTGCTGAAATGTTGCCGGCAGACTTTTATATTATCTTCATGCCTAATTTTTTGGTTGAAAAGTAGAAAATATTCGTATATTTCAATGGGTAGATTATTAGTTACAGAAAAACTGTCAACTTCAGGCGAAAATTCCATTTATATAACCTTGAACTGAGGTGAGTACAGTGTATGTAATTAATAATTATTAAAACCTTTTATATCACTTTAGATACACATGTCCTCAATCTCCTTTTCCTTTTAGCAGACAACCGCTCAGGCGAACATTAGCAAAGTCTGTCTTACCAGGCTTCGTTCAACATCTAAACGAAACATTCCGGAAAAGCTTTGAGAAAAGACGAAAGCGATGGGTAGGAGTTCAATTCTGGTATCATGAAAATCTATATGTTAGTTGAGTGTTTGGATACTTGTTCTAATCACCACGATCTTCGGGTCGCTGCTTTTAGTTAGGGCAAAGAGCAGAAGAATATTCTACTGGGAGCAGACAAGCAGCACGATCAAACGCGTGAAAACTATCCCAAGGTCGAGGGATGTTGTCATTATTGAACAAATCAGAAAGGCTACTCGACATTCCTGGAGGGCTTATAAAAAATGCGCCTGGAGTAAGTATCTCTGTCCATAGCCCAAGATAATTTAACGCACCATTTTGAATTTTAGGTAAAGACATTGTTCACCCGCTTGCTTGTGAAGGATCCGAATGGATGGGTGCCCTTCTGACAATGGTTGATTCACTCGATACATTGTGGATAATGAAACTGGACGCGGAATTTGATGAGGCTCGGAAGTGGATTTCCAGCTACCTGGAGTTTAACTCGACCGACCCGCACATTAACGTGTTTGAGACAACAATCCGACTCTTAGGTGGCCTACTGTCGGCCTATACGCTTTCGAAAGATAGAATGTTTCTAGGGAAGGCGGTGAGTACGATTGGGCAAGAATTCGTTTGGCATCTTTCTTGTTTAAGCTGTTTATCGACCAGTTTTTTTAGAAAGCGGACCAGGCTACATTTGAGGGAGGAGGGCATTCCCGAATTCGGGTAGCTGACATGCATGAACAAGCCAGATTCCAAACGGTTTTTCGACGCTCAGCTAGTAAACTTCGTCATAAGCTTATCTGGGTTTTTCTCGCAAACCTTCAAAAAGTCGCTTGTATCTAAAAACGGCTGGGGAGAAAGTTTGTGAACATCAACTGCTACAGTGACTATCTCTGCTGGGCTTCGAAAAACCTCAGCCTCAACATTGTTTATTCCGTATTTAATAAAGCCCGAGAAGTGAATGCCTAGTACGCGTGAACGTACTGTTATCCTCTCCACAAGATCCGAAGTCGGCTGTGGCCAGAACTATGACAACTCTGTTCATTGCGTTCTAACTTGAGAATTTAGATAAATCATTTGGGAGAATGCGAGGGCTTGTAGGTTGTTGTAATAAGCCTAAGTGAGTAACATTTACGCGTGATCTTTCACTATATTAGTCCGGGAGATTTCAGCCGAAATCAATGGAATACGGATCATTTTTAGGGTATTTTCCTAACCACCTCTTGATTTGAGTTAAAGTGACTATTCTGTTAAACTTTCCATCCAGGAAATGCGTGTTTGAAATCCAGAGACCTTCTACCATCGTTTGTTACTTTCATCAACTAGATGCTTCATGAGTTTCATTTGACGAATCCAACCACGAATTAAGTGAAAAAGTGCCTGCCTCTTTACTAACTGCTGCACAGTTGGTTGAAGGAACATGTACCACGCCAAATGATTGCAATTTTACTGAGTTAGATAAATAAATGCGTGATAAGAGGGATCCATTGCTTTAACCCATCTTAGAGAAATAATAGGAAAACTGAACTGAAAGACGTTTTTGGGAGAGATCTGAAGACATCCGAAACTAATGTATTCTGTTTGGTGCTTCTTTTTGCCTACTGTCGTGAATAACAGTCTTTGAATAGACTCAGATAGTCCTCAAATTCAAAAAAATAAAATCAGAAAACAACAGTGCACATGGTCTGGCCATGCGTTATCGCAAGCACTTTTTCAATGTTAACAATGCAAGTTACGTACTTTACCCTTTAAGTCAGTGGGGCACAAGTCCTAGGGTTATCTGAGTTCACCAGAAAAATTTGTCACTGAATTTAGACACTTTGTCTGGTGCTACTAAGTATTTTCACCAAGATCGGCCGCTCGGCATATCTGTGCTCTACGTAGATGAATTCCTGAAACCCACAAAAAGGCCGCTGTTTAGATGGGCTACAGGACAGGCCCGTAAAAAGACTACTTCATGTCAACGTCATGCAATTCAAGTGAAATGCATACACGCGCTGGGATATCCAGTGCCAGCTAATTCCTCTGCTTTGGAGAAGCAAAGTTTAAGATTCCAGAGGAGAAAGTATGTGTCTCATTGCAATTCGTCTGCATGTTTTCCCTTATTAGCAAAGTTTCACGAGATTGTACCTAGCCGATTAGGTTGCATCCTCTGGCTCCACTAACTTCACCAACTTTTGCTCCTCGACTCAGTGCGAAAACGGGCACAAAGAGTATCAGCTAGTCGTTAGTTGTAATCACAAAACTGAGCCAACCAAGTGGCTTTATAAATGGCTACAGATCACACGGACTCACAGTCTTGCCATGGGAATATAGAAAAAGGGTTTGGAATTTGGAAAGGACCAAAAAATGTTTCACCATAAAATCTTTTGACACTCGTGATACTTATGCGACAATCAAATGCCTATTGTAGATGGACGTCGATTCTACCATGACTCTTAATAGCGAAGAGTGAAAAAGTTCCGATCTTGCTTGAGCTGAATGGTGCTTGAATTCACATGCACCAATAACTTTGAAGAAGGTCAATATCTGGCATACGTCTAGTTTGCTTCCTTAGTAAAAAGCCTTCCTGTGATTTATGGAAGTAGAATCTGACCAAAGATAAAGCATGTTATGGAAAAAAGGAAAAAAAGAGAAGAAAACCCCTCAGTTACATCTCACTGGTGTGGCCTGTTCCATCTCCTATTGCCGACTTCCGCTCCCCGCTCACTGTGTACCCAGCTCACAGGATATTCCTCGAGAACAAACCCAGTCCAACACTATTCTCAAAGCTATGAAGGCAAGATATTGTAAGATGACTTATAAGCGTTTCTGCATTACCTTCGTCCTAATTCTCAGGAAAAAACGTCCCAAAAGCAAGTGTGCTTACTATGACAAACTTGCAATCAAGTTACGCCGGTTGGCAGATCCTAAACTCCTTACAATTTCTAGTCTCTTGACATTCTGTTTGTTTGATTTTTCTGACCTAATGTGCAACTTGAAGGAAGGGTTAAACTATATGCTTGTTGGTCTGGGCAAGAATGTTGACACTGCGTCATGGATTTAATGCACCGATTAACTTCAGTTCACTTATTATCAGGTACCTTCTAATTTTTCTGCAGCAACAAAAACCTCTCAATTTCTAAGCTTCCTTTGCTCGCCCAAAATTGGTCAATTGGAACTGTACATATATAGATTCTCTCTGTATTTTTGGGTATTTTAGACAATTCTTGGCGATATACTGCTCGGCGCATTTGATGGGATGTCGGCGTTCCCATCGATGGATATAAACTTCTCTACAGGAAAGGGAAATCCGAACAGTTTTGAAGAATTATGCCTTGCAGAAGTTGCAACTATCCAACTGGAGTTTAACGAGCTTTCTCGGTTGACAAAAAATCCTATTTATGCAGTGAGTTTCGTATCCTCTCTATGCTGTGCAGATCAATTATAACGCAAACTATATATTTGCTTTCAAGTAGCCCTTGATCATGCGAGAGAATAAAATGCTTGGAATTACGAAGAAACTCAAAGTTACGCCTTTGACTATCAAATGAAGTATTTCAATGTTTACTCTGTAGTGTGCACATGCTGTAATGTATATCGTATACAGTAGGCACTTTATATGAATGCTCGACCTGATGACGGGTTTTTCTGGTCAACAGTGTTTGAAACAATGTACATCAATCCAAAGCTATGCATAATACTCATCGCTGAGCTAAACACGGAGCTTCACGCAACCCGTTTACCCCGATCTAGACCCGAGATCGGCAAGCAGAAGCCTGCAGTAATACGTCAGTCGATCTAAACATGTTGGTATAACAAAAAAAAATCCGGATCAGTTATTTGTTCATTACTGAGATACTGAATTCATCCATAAAGTCTTTGAATTCTAGCAAATTACAACACCTTCCTAAAGGGAGCAAGAATTCACTTGCACGGGGAGCATTCTATTAACAAACCAGCAAGTGATGATAGCATACTGACGGTATTTCGTTGATGGGGCAATCACCACTTACCCAGCTACAGAATGGAATCGCCAGCTAGATCACACAAAAACAGTTTACAATCAATGCAAAGGAGGTAAAAGAATGAAGAGACATGAGGTTCCCAACGGATAAAACAGCCCTAGTCTGGTTGCAAAAAACCTAATTGGCCGATGCAGAAGTGTAGATCTGGTTCATTGTTGGCTGTGACGTACTAATGTTTTGAGGACATGTGGCACAGTTGACGGAAAGTCTTCTTGATGTCGGCTGACTACTTCGGTTCATTCAAACCAATCCAACGTGGTGCACAAGAGATGCGAATTGTGATGCGTGAATTGTGATGGTCACTGAGTGTTTTTGTTTAGGTCAAAACTCAAATGTCTGGTCAGTAAAAGTTTCGGACTGCTGGACAAGAATGGAGTGAGTGAGGTGGTTTTCTGTGCCCGCTAGTGTGCAAAAGAGAGGAAAGTTGAAAAATAGGCTAAGAATGAGCTCGTTTCTGATATGTTGTGCAGAGGTCTATGGAAAAAACCGGGTTTAAAGATTAGCATTCAACGAGAATATGAAGTGTACAGAGACGGACCAAAAGATAAGATTGGGACAGGAAGAGTGAAGAAAGTCAAAAAGGTGGGTTAGGCAAGTCGGCTATCGAAATGTTTGAAGTTATAGAGTGTTTGGTGGACGGTTAGCAAGGATGGAGATGTCAAAATTCTGAGAAACGTGAGCCAGATATCAAGTGGTCTTTCTACTGAGGAAGAAACTTGAAAACAAGAAAGAAATTAGAAACAAAATTGGAAAGTTTATTATCTCTTTTCTGCCAAGTCTCTGAAATGAGTGGTTTCGGATAAAGGAGGAAGATGAACTGAAGAATATGTATCTCATTCTAGCACGGTAAACGACTTAGTTACAGGCACGAAATAATTATCCAGGAGAAAAACAAGGATAGAGTTAAACGAACTGTTTGGTCTTTTAATCTTTCGGTAAAATTCGACAGGCGAAGAAGATAAAGGACACTAAAGAACTCAAAATAAGGACATGCTCTCTCATTCGGCCAACATTGTTGCTAACAATGTGGGAAAATCAACGATTATCATTGGAACATAGAGTGCTGGCAGAGCTAAGCAAGGTGTTATATAGATCGACTTGTTGAGAGTTCCACGGTTCATTGAAAGTTATAGCCCATGTTTTGATGAACGAATGCGGAAGATCGGTAGTTAGGAAAAACCGCTCGCAGTGGAAAAACATTACATCACTTAGCCAGCTATTTTAAGAGTGGTAACGAACTGGACCCTTTGGGTTTGTGAACCCTAAAGACATGAATACAAATTATAGTGTGAGGTCTGATTAGCGCCTACAGTAACCTTTTGTAGAGGAAATTTTCAGCCATTTGTCTCTCAATAAGAAATGGCGTCAACAAGAAAATTACTTCGTGTAAATGATAGCTTTGAATAAAACCTGAAAGTCCTCGAGGGACCAACCGCGCGCGATTTAACGGGTAACGGGTAAGGATGGTCATAAGTTCTACCCTTCAGAAGGAAACAATTAAAGTGATAATCGTATGGGAACTAGTTGTGAGTTAAATTTTGATTTGAAACAAAACTGAATAGCCCCCACAAGGCGACCGGTTTTCGTTTACCCCAATAAGCAGGTTGATTCGGGTAAAGTATTCCGTCTACTAATTCCAGCATCCAGTCGGTTTGATTGAGCAAATAATTCTTAAGGAACGCTTTGTGCAAATTAAAACGTCACCTGAAGGTCTTCAAAAAAGTCAACAGAAAATACGGATGAAAGTGTGACAAACCAGTAACAAGCCTAATTTTCCACCTACTGACCATCTTAAAGAGAATTTATTAGATTTTTTTCTGATTGGCATTTTTTGCATATTTATGTGAATAGCATGTAGATAAATCCAATGATTTATGATCCTTTCAAGAACAAAGTAGTACCTTTTATTTGTGGTTTGATAACTATTTATGCAAGCAAAGCTTAGTTGCCTTTGAAAAAGGGGTCGCCGTTGTCCGTGAGTGGACCTTGTTGAGGACTACCCATGTCAAGAGAGCCACCTTCTATGAAATCAGGAACCACACAAACAGAACGCGTACAAGCGATTCTTGCATGATTTCAGATACAGCTCAGTTAGCTGAGGCAAAACTTGCTTGAATACCCTAATAGCTTTTTTCGTGTGTACAACAAATAGATATATATGCATGCATACATGACATAATTGCCGTCCCATTGGGTTTTTTCTTTGAAAAAGCATACGGCTGCGCAAGTATACAAACGCTTGCATGAATTACCAAAAATGAATGGTTTGCTTCCCATCGGTATTGATCGCGAAACTGGGAACTCGGTGTCGTCCCGGATTACAATAGGCGCACGTGGTGACAGCTATTATGAATACCTCCTTAAAGTAAGACTGTGTTTTGAGTGCTATTCACTTCTAAAATGGGATCTGTGTTGTTAGAATGCGGATTTTTTGAATCAACTTTAGATGATATTCCTCGTGTTTGTTCATATGAGAACAGTGCGCTGGTTTACAGTGCTACATATACCCGGAAACTGACAGGGAAATGTCAAACTGGCGAGCCACTTGATCATCCTCTTATTAGCCTTCGACTACTCAGCGATATCTGTACTCAGTAGTGACTGTTGGAATGTAATTCCGGGAAGCGAATACGTAACTTTGTGCTTTATGGTTGCAGTGCCTTTCCAGGTTAGGTGAAAAAGTGCCTTGAACACAAAAGTACGTTGAGATAACGAGGACTGTGTTCAACTTCTCTGTCTATTTTCTAACGTGGCGCGTTGCTCAAATGATATCTTGTATTTCAACCGACACGTTATTCTTGTCATCACAGTCATTTTCTTGATGTCACATATAAGAGTGATGAATATTTTTAATGTAAGTTCGCCGATTCTTTCCTTTCTGGTGCTGTCGACTGGGATTTTACCCTGCGAATGGAACCAGTCTAGACTGCAAGACCAAGAAACACTGTATAGCTGGTTCGTCCTCACGTAATATCATCTCTCACGAAAATCTAGAGTTTCGGAATAGCAGTCCGTCTCTCTGGTTAATGGTTTGAACACTGAACCAGTCACAAGCATTTGGAGATATGGATCAATTAATTCAGCCATCTCTCAAGGGCTCTCCAAAAGAGATAAAATTCAAGCTTGGGAGGTTTACTTTGAGCAAAAGCGCAAAACAGCTGGTTCCAAAGAAAAACGTTTATCTGTTTCCTTTCTTTTATTGTAATCCTTAACTTTACATATCCAGTGTCTTTTATCATTGCCCGAAATTTTGAAGTTTGTCCATCAAGGAAAAACGACCAAATGAGGTCGATATTCGCGAACTTATGATGAAGTAAAAAGATTGAAACCAGCGAAGAAATTTACTGAGTTTACGTATCGCTTTAGGAATTTGCATCAAAGCCGTGTCATAGGTCGACTTATTTTATTGGCCTGTACTTAGGTTGCACCTGTCTCATGCCAAGCATATTTACGAAATCATCATGTTGACTCACAGGTATTTGTCCTAGTTGGGCCTAAAGAAAGTCAAAAATTATCTGGAGCATATCCTGAAAGGAGTTGTTGGAAACGCTGATGCAAACAATTTTTCCCTTATTCCGTTATCTCAAATACTTAATTTCGTCCTGGAGGTGGTCTGATATCCCCAACGATTTTGTTTTATCGCGTACTGAGAAATTTTCAAGGCTTCCTCCAGTGAAAGGCAACGAATAGTACCGACTGTTACATCACTGTTTGAGAGTTAGCAACGTAGATATACTTGTCACCTCTGGTAAAGTACCCTAGTGCTAAAAATTCAGGATGGCTACTGTCTTTTAGATTTGGCATTCACATAGACACTTTGAGTAGCACTTTATTCCTGTTCTAGGCTGTTTCTTTGCTAATGATCTCTTTGCGTTAGCTTTGGCATTTATGATGATCTCCGATTTTGGTTTACTCACCATTCACTTAGTTGCGAATTCTGCACCACTATTTCGTGGCAAGACAACCCTTTTGGCCATCGGTTAGCTCAAGAACGACAAATCACAAGGCCGCCTGTATTTTGAAAACTTTGTGTTACTATACGTCCTTAAGGCCACGTTTGTGTAGTTTAATTATTCTGGCCGAGTGCACAGTTAATATTAGCAAGTAAGTTCCAACAGTTCCGTTACCACTTGCTCACGGTATCCCGAGAGGCATACTTAGCTTTTGCCAGGAGATTTGCACGATTCAAAACTCATGTAACTCACCTGGAATTCCATGGTGCATTCTGTAAGCGGCCTCAGGTGCCTAAACTTTCGTTCGGTGAATGGGCTTGATCCTGGAGTTATTTTATCCTTCAAAATGAGCACATATCAAACATTCGCTTTAAGGAAGAAATTACCAAAGTTTAGCATACTCTGACCCACGTATGTTACATTATTTTTGGACTTTAGATGGCTCAAAAATATTTAGCGGGCTGCAAACCCAATGTCAAGCTCAGTAAAAAAAACAACCGACTGCTTACCTAACAATCAGTGAAAGTGGGAAAGCTTCTTACCACGAAGTTGTTTATTAGCAAACGCAAACTAAGCGTTTACAATCCGTCAGACACAAAAGTGAATATCTTTTCTGCACAAAGGTTTTGAACGTAAACATTATGAGCTTTCCTGAACGTTCACTGAATATTAAACAATAGTAAACGAACACTGCAAAGCGGTTCCATAATTTCCTTACTGACCTTCACTGTCCATTGGATGCGGGAGCGGAGGTTGTACATCAGAAAATAGGCTACTTGCATGCTTCATCAGTAGTTTACGTCGTTACACACCTTCTCCCTTCAAATATCGCGTGCATGCCCCTGATGTTTCGTTTGCATCAGTTAGGTCGTCTTCAATAGCTGGTCTGCCCGACACCCCTCCGGGTGTATCATACCACTTTCGAAGCTTAGCAGCGTTTTCCCTTTTCAATCCTGGACCATCCTGAATTGTATAAGCGTTCCATTGACAGCCGATAAGGGCAAACGGGTCTTGCCACTGACTGCCAACTTTCCGCAGTCTCGGTCCACTCCTTCCATAGTTCTGATGATCTTTTCATTTGACCTTTGCACGCAGAGATGTCGTGCCTTCCTACCCACCTTTTTCTGTCTAGTTCTCTCCTGAACCGCGGACAAGTTTTCTTGATCTCCTCTACTATCCTTCCCAAGATTCTCCTGCGACAGACTTGTTGTTGGCTACAACACGATTTCCGATCATTCGGAAAGCGCAAATGTTGGCCGTACATCAACAGGAAGAAAGGCTTTTCCATGATTGACTGAATCGGCTTACGATTTGCTAACAACACCATCAGTAATTTCACTTCCCAGACACCTCCTGTGACCGCCAGTCACTCCTTAATCGTTCGGTTAGGCCGATTGTTTGTGGGTCGTGATGTGTCGTCCCCGACCGCTTGATGTACGATTGCTGATAGCAAATCCAAAAAACAGGGCACCTGATCATAAGGATCATTTTGGCGCTCCGTTGTTGGCCACCGCCTCGACATATTGATTTCCACTAGCTGCCGCCATAAGGTCAACGGACCGTAAATCTCCGATTTCTGATACAGTGGGGTGAGTGACCATTGTCGTATCCATTTTCATCAGGTGGCATCGCTTGCAGGCCACCACATAATCCATTTCCTCACTTCCTATCCCTGGCCAGTAGGCCCTCTGCCGAAGTGAGCCATTTGTATTGGTGCGTCCTGTGTGTGCTGTCTCATGCAGTTCAACAATCAGCCTCCGCCTCGAAACGTGAGGTACTGTGCGCACTACGACAATCGAATTGTTGGTATCCAATAATATTATGCTAGTTTGGCTCAAGCTTAGTCTAATAACCTGTTCCTGGACGTTTACAGCTCTCTCTGTGTGTGTGTGTTCTGAATACCTCTTTCGTAGTACGGAATCCTGCCGCTGTAGGTGCGACAACCTCCTGAGATACAGTTGGACGGCGAGGCTATTAGCGCCAATCGTGATCTTTGGTGCCTCATCTCCGGCCCCTGGTCTTGATAGTCAATCGGCAAGGTGCTCCGCCTCTCTTAGCACGTGCGGGATTGTATTGTCGTGCCGTTGTGACCGGAGCGTCCAGCGCGCGAGCCTTTTGCATGGCTCTCATACGTCCTCACCCGAACAGTGTCACAGAACTTTGAGCGAACCATGTATCATCATATATACGCAGGCCAGCTTCCCAAATATGCTTCAATACGACTTCCGAGCCCGTTGCGAGCCGCTATAGATGACGATATCGTATCTGTACACAGTAATATTGTGTAGTCTTAAGCATCAAACATCGGGGAAGAAGAATGGCGTCTCCGACAAACGAAACGGCATCTGTCTAAGTTGATTTTACTTGAACGCTATCTTTTTCCGTCCTTTGACTTGTTAGCTAGCTGGAAGTATTCGGAACACAAGTTAAATGCCGTGAAATATCGGGACCGCTAGGGCGAACTGGAAATCTCTGCAGCCGAAGGGACCGCTACAACCCAGTAGTCATTTCATTCAAACGCTGGAAATCCACACAAAATCTGTATGTTCCAGCTTTTTTCTTCACAAACATAACCGGATAATTATTTACACTGTTGGCTTCCTCAATTATGCCAGTTTTAGAACCTGACTAACCTGTTTGTGGAGCTCCACCCGTAGATGGAGCAGTAGCTTACGAGGACCATAATCTCGAAAGCGTTCGGACGAAAGGGAGATTTTATGTTGGATCCACGAGCAAAAACCAAACAAATGTTCATTGCCCGTGAGCATTTTGGAGTACTCCTAGACCACAGACTGACGGACCATTGCAGTACGAAAGCTTTCGTAAACGAAGTTCGCTCACGGCAGTCTTTTGGTGACCTGCAAACTTGAATGAGCCATACTTTGTGATCATTCTATCCCGCTTTACATCCACAATGGAATCTGCGCCGTTTGGGAAAGGTGCTATCAAAATTTTCTGTTTATGTCTGGGATGGTCGGGAACTCTTCCTGCACCGATCGGTCTTTTAGATGCATTTAGTGCATTTGCAGTTAGTAATCACCCACTGCCCTCACGTCTAGCAAGCTTAGTTTGCATTCAGCTTCGTCCCTTTCTGCCTCAGTGACACCGCTATTTCTGTATACATTAAGGATTGTGTCATAGTTTGTGTCGCAGCGCTGATCGTAACCCACCCGGTGAAGGAAGAGTAAATCAGATCATCATTATTGACAGGCAGCCGGTTGCGGCAACACAGATTATTCCCGTGGCCAGAAATGACACGATTAAGGCATCGGCTCTTTCAAACCTGCTTCTGCGATTCTATCTTGATGGCAGCAGGCTGTTTTGTTAGTTGGTCCACTCGGGCCCGTGGTCGCTCTACCAGTGAATCATCTCATTTCTATTGTGACTGCAGCGTGGCCATGGTGTCTTGGCC